TGCTGAGAGAGCTCTCTCCCAGCGCTCTGCCGCGACTACACAAGCCACGTTAAAGCGCTGCCATGGCAACGCCTTAACGTTGCCAGTGTAGATTAGCCCTCCATCCAGTGCTGGCTTTTGTGGATTGCACTTCTTAGGTGACCATCTCTCCCCATTCATTGTACAGGGAGCCTAGGCAAATAACACGGTTTTGTGGATCACCATGTTGTTCCTGTGCCTAGACATTAGGCACGGTGACACTCAGCATTACAACGCCTAAGTCTCTTTATGGATCCCACACAAAGTCACTGCAACGCTTGCATTGTGACCTTTTGACACTGCATCATCACAGTGCCAACACACACATCACTACATTGCATTGGCCACAATGATATATGAGGTTCTTTAACTGTCTTGAAAGATAAGGGAAAAGGGAAACCCTATTACCCTTCCTCCCACCAACTCAACTCTACATGAGCAGGCTTTCCCCCTGACCAAAATATAATGACGTTGTCCTCTTTTATTCCCACTAATATGATTTTTTTTTAAAATTACAGTTCTACTCTAAGAAGCGATTATGTAAAAAAAGCACTTTCTTAGTCAACAGATCTCATTCTTGTGTGTACTGTAATATCTGCTGACTTCAGTGGCTTCTACTGAAATTATTCTGGTGACCCTCTGAGCGAACACATATTAGAAGGAGTGAACCAGAATTTTTTTTCCCATGGCCTTTGCTATTTTCTTGTAACACAGAGGGAAACGTCTCAATTTTGTACAATTTACCATTTCTCTCCCCTAGTATATCAGAGGAAATTCTGACACTCATCAACATTCAGTATTTGCTATCAAACATAACAAACCAAGGATGAGAACGGGTGAAGACAAAAATTCTGAGATGTGGGACTCATCGGAATATGCTACACCTATACCCTATATGAAAAATGCAAAATGAAAAGGTAAAAATTGTGATAGGAAATTCAGACCTGGCAAAACTTTCTACTTACAGTAGAAATAAAGCGATTATGGCAGTGCTTTTAAAAAAAAAAGGAAAAACAACATAAAATGATAAAAGGTTTCAGGGATTTACACTGGCCTTTGGACTACTGTCTTAATGGATCACAGAGTCAATTCCCATTAACCAGTAACTGCTTTTGAAACAATAGTTACCTTTCAAACCATAGCTTTATGCTCTGCATAAGAGCTTCTCCAGGATATAGTTGATTTTCTCTCAGATACAAGAGGATTCCTAAGAGTTCACTGTTTAACTGATCGTCCTTCACACATTTGCCAGTATCAAAAACGACCTGCAGCGTATCCAAGTTTGGTATCAAACCCTTAGCCAGCATTTCATGATACAGTTCACATGCCAAGTTTATTTCTTGGTTATTGAGGGCCCCTTTGATACAATCTCCATAGTTCCCTTTTGACGGGGTCATGACTTTTTTTATCTCTTCCAGTAGCGACAAGGCCTCTCTCCACCGATTGGAACCACTCAGCCCCTTGATTAGAAGGCTGTAAGCCCCAGTTTCTAAAGTCTTAAATCTGACTTTCATTATATCATAGACATCATAAACTTCTGCCATCTGCTCCTGCCGGACACACAGAGCCAGGTACTTGACCAATAAATTATAACTGATGTCACCTTTTCTCATTGCCACCATAGATAGCAAGGACTTGGCCACATCTATGGAGCTGTTGCATTTGATCATTTGCTCTAGCATTATATCTTCAAACTTGCTAATTCCCTTAAATTCTCCCCTCAGCTCTTCCCATTCCGCCACACTCAAAGGTTTTTCTGGGGGCCGGATACCATTCTTTTTAGATATCATGAGCAGTTCCTCTTGGTTCTTTGATCTCCTCTTGGCAGCTCCAGCAGAGAACAGGGAAAAAGGATGAGGAGAAGAGGTGTCTCCTCTGGCCCTGCCCTCTTTTTCCTCTCCATCTCTACCTTTAGATCTGGTCTTAGTAGATAGCATATGAGTTACTTTGGGATCCACTGGTATTGCGGATTGAGAAGTGGTAGTAAAAGGGAAACATTTAACATGTTTCCTGTTCGGGAGATGGAAGATGACAGCAAACAGCCGTTGGCACCTTGGAACAGGCCAAAACATGGGGTATTTCCCCAAAGTCTGCAAACCCGAGAAGCTAGTGGGACGGAAGAAAGCCATGATGAGGAGAATGCATATACTGGGAACACTCCCCAAGAGAGATCTAGTGGGAAGTGAAGTTTGTGTAAGGAAGTTTATAGTAAAAGTCTTAAGGGATGTCAAGCTGTGAAAGTTTTTGAATAAAGATCACAAGGGAGCTTTTAAGACTCTCATTAAAACAAAAATAGCAAAATCCTTCATCATCAAAAGAAGAAATATTTCAAACTACCAAACTATTAATACAAAGGGTGAGGGGGCATCTCTCTTCCCAGGAAAGAGGCTTGGCGGTTCTGTACTTTATTGTGCCTGCCCAATCTGAGGCTGTTTAAGGTTTATCATAAATATATGCTATAAAAATGGGGTGAAGTTATGTGAACTTCCTAAGAACTAAGAGTTGTTCTGTCGCTTTCATCCAAATCAGGTCAGGAAATTACCTACAGAAAACACACCACAAACAATACACAATTAGTACTTACATCTCCAGAGTAGTAACTTCAGCATTACAATTCAGTTTACATTTTTACAACCAAAAAAGTGACCTACCTAACCTATCTTAGGTCTGGCACCCAAAATTTGCTCACCTAAAAGCCAGTGATAAACTGCCAATATTTTAACATGGGACTTCTACCAAAGCTCCCTTATCACTTACAGCTTGTGATAAACATCCGGGAAGGCAGGCATTCACATGCTGCAAACATATAGGACTATTAATTTTTCTCACCATTTAAACAAAACCTGCTTTCCCAGTGATAACCATAGCTCAGGAGGGAGGCAACACCATTTTGCAAACAAGTTTTTAATATGGGCACCTCCCAATAAGCTATTATTTCCTAAAAAGTACACAAAGGATAGTGATAGCTGGGATCCAGCCAGTGTAATCATAAGAGAAGGGGTGTGTTTGCCAGAAGCTGGGAATGGGCAACAGGGGATGGATCACTTAATGAATACCTGTACTGTTCATTCCCTCTGAAGCACCTGGCATTGGCCACTGTTGGAAGACAGAATACTGGGCTAGACGGACCATCAGTTTGACCCATTACAGCTGTTCTTATGTTACGTTCTTACGTGTTTGGAGGAGGCAGAAAGGATCCTTGTGAGAGGACCTTTGTTGCCAGCTCTTGTGATTTTTAATCACAAGTTTCACAGTATTTGGTGTATTTCTTAAAGCCCCCGCTGCTGAAGGGGTGTAATTAGGCAAGAGATTCACCTTTCACTTTTAAAAAAAGTTTCTAGCCAGCACGATTATAGAGACTAACTGGAAAACCTGAAGCCTGGGCACCAGAAGACAAACAATCAACAGGTATAACTAACTCCAGCAGCTCTGCACGTTTTCAATCTCGCGGTATCTGGGCCTGACTAGTGATGTCTGCGTGCTTGGGCCTATGGCAATAGTGCAACGTCCACGTCCTCTCCGCAGACCTGGGAGAGGATCGCTGCCAGTCGGGACGTGCTCCCTGGGCCGCTCAGAGACGCTGCGATGAGCTGCGGAGCTAAGACCCCCTCGCACAAGCTGGGCCGGCTCATTCAGAGCCGGAGCGCAGGCAGGGGCCTCCTTTGGAGTCAGCGGTATCCCGGGGAGCCCGTTGGCACCACCAGCGCCTGGCAGCGGCCTGCCGGAGTCGCGGGGGCGGGGCGAGGCGAGGGTCCGCTGCAGCGCACGGAAGCACAACGCACGCCTCACACGCCCCAGCCCCGGTGACTACTGGCCGCACGCTGAAAACTACAGCTCCCAGCATGCAATGCAACCCGGCCGCCTATACAGGGCGCGCAACACGTACTGGGGGATGTAGTTTCTGCGGTCCAATTGCGGGCCATGCCTTTGCTGCCTTCCCCATGCGGGCCTGTCTCAGGCGATGCGCTGCAGGTGTCAGTATCGCAGCGCTGAGCGGCTCTGGTGGATGCCACTCATAGCCGAAGGGGGCGGGTCAAGTAATGGCGGAGCCGCGCCGGACAGTCGCTCTACCTAAGGAAGAACTTTTCCTCTGAACTTGCTCTCTGTCACGCGCCGAACGGTCCCTCCGCCAATCAGGGCTCTGTATGAGGCTCGCCGCAGTCCAGACTGCCGGCTCGTGTTACGCATGTGATCACAGGATCCAATGAGAACAGAGCACATTAAAGCGGCCTTAGTTGGCCGTGGCCGCCATATTGGTTACGGGCAGGGTGTCAGCGCCAATGGCTTTAGTCGGCCGGAGACGTACGAGGTGTATGGGACAGGTCGCAGGCGCCGGAAGTAATTGCCAGGGCCCTTAGCGGCTTCTTACCCGCACCTAGCATGGTGGTTACGTGATGGAGGAACAGTAACCCGGATGTGTGGCCGTTGGGGCGGGCGTTGCGGGTCATGGAGTGGAAGCAGGCGTTGCGGGGCCGGCTGGCCGCCTGCACCGGCCGTGAGTGCGCGGGGAACATGGAGCGAGCGGGAAGCGGGGCGCAGAGGCTGCGGGGTCCCACAGAGAGCGGGCGGGAGCGTCTCTGGCTCTGCCCTAGGCTCGATCCAGCGCGGAGCTAAGGGGCTGTGCTGACAGCCCGGCCCTGCCCTGGAACCAGCCGGTCCCAAGCTGGCTCTGTTCGGGCCCTCAGTGCAGTGAGCGAGCAGACGGGCGTCCCTGTCACAAACCACCACCGTAGTGGGTGTCTGACCCGCCCCGATAGGCTGCCTCAGCGGGGGTAGGGGTAAAGCCTGAACGGGGCCTGGAGCCCGATCCCTGCAGATCGGGGTGAGGTCACACAGGTCTCGTTTAGGGTGTGGCATTAGCTAACACGTGCTATCTACCACATCCGAAGGTCTAGTGTAGCCTCGCTGGAGCTCTCTGTGCTCATGAGGGCCCTCAGATGCCTCCAGGACTGCGAGGCTCACACCTGGAACTAGAGCTAAGATTTCTCACAAATCACATTTCAGCTGTTTGCGTTTAAAAAAAGACCCCTCGTCTTTGCCACATAAAACATTCCTGCTGAAAATGATGCAACCCGTAGGATGTTTTATGTTACATGTGAGTGACAGAGCATGCCGGATTCCAAGTCCAAGTGCTTTTGGGTCTGCATTGTATGCTGGTAATGTTTTCTTTCCCTCCCCACCACGATATGTTGTTAAAGTGTGCACAGTGAAATCGATACCATATCATTGCATGATACAAGCTAAAGAAATGACTTTCAAAAAAACACTTGCCCCCAAGTAGAAAGTAGCTTCAACTATTGTATGAATCCTAGGGACAACAACTTGCAGGCTTGTACAGCCACAGAATCAGTTGTAGAACAATAATGACAAACCTTTGTTAATATCAAGGACCTCAGTTTGGTTGGCATCTTTGATAGACAAGGAGATATGCCTATCTAATGTATTCAGGCACATATACCCAGCCCCTTGCTGTGGTATCTTAGTGCCTAATTAGTATACACCTCTACCCCGATATAACACGACCCGATATAATATGAATTCGGATATAACACGGTAAAGCAGCGCTCGTGGGAGTGGGGGGGCTGCGCACTCCGGCAGATCAAAGCAAGTTCAGTATAATGCGGTTTCACCTATAACAGTAAGATTTTTTGGCTCCCGAGGACAGCGTTATATCGGGGTAGAGATGCATTTGCATACCTTTTGTATGAAGAATAAATGCAAATAAACGTGTAGTAATTTGTACTTTTATTTAGTTGTGACTGAATAAAATGTTGTGCTTTTTATTTCTCATTCACATTACTGAGGACGTTGGTATTCGTACAAAAAGAACAGGAGTACTTGTGGGACCTTAGAGACTAACAAATTTATTAGAGCATAAGCTTTCGTGGGCTACAGCCCACTTCTTCGGATGCATATAGAGTGAAACATATATTGAGGAGATATATATACACACATACAGAGAGCATGAACAGGTGGGAGTTGTTCATGCTCTCTGTATGTGTGTATATATATATCTCCTCAATATATGTTTCACTCTATATGCATCCGAAGAAGTGGACTGTAGCCCACGAAAGCTTATGCTCTAATAAATTTGTTAGTCTCTAAGGTCCCACAAGTACTCCTGTTCTTTTTGCGGATACAGACTAACACGGTTGCTACTCTGAAACCTGGTATTCTTACAGTTTTCTTCAAAGATTTTACCACTTTATTAGCAATTACTTAGACATGTCTGGAGATAGTTTCTGACACTTTGAACTTTGCTTACAATACTGCATGGGAATGGAGTGGAGCCCCCTTAGTTCTACCCAAAAGAAATACAGGTGTAATGTACAGCAATAATTTCTCTTCAATGAATGATCTGAAGAGAGGGAGAAATAGTCCTAGCCCAAAAGACAAGTGGGGATTGAAGCCAAGTTTTTCATGATAGTTAATCTATAATTTCTACAGATAGTAAATGCAAAAATTATAGATTAAATTAATATAAGTATGTTTTAGCAACTGCTAAGCTTTCATTAGTCTTTAGTTAGATATGTGCAGAAAGTTATGCTAAATGCAAATGTAGAATGTGCACTCTTCCTGTGAGGGGAAAAAACCACAGGAACCTTGACTTTCACATTATGATGAAACAAACAGGATCTTTCTTCCAAGGGTTTGCAGTAGTATGCAGGGATCGTAGTCCTGAAACCCCAAGGAACTTGTGCATCTGCAGGGAAATTGTGGGAACCTGCACCTACTTTCCCTCATCCAATAGTAGTGCTACTCTTGAGGGAGTCATGTTGCCACAGAGACCTCCCTTCTGAATGCACATTAAGACTCTGAGGTGACTTAGTGCTTGTAGCAGAATTACATTAAAAAAAATAGCACCAGAGAACTTGCTGCTCCCTGCCTTTTCCAGCCACAGCCCTGCCCACCTCCACTCAAAGCTTTCCGACCACACGGTGTTAGCAGAGAGGGTCTTCTGCAAGCCTTTGGTGAGCAGACAAACATGATGTACGTCTGCTGTTTTCCAGGCATTTATGCCTTTTACTTTATGCCTTCTGCAGATTATACAGATTATAGTGACATTGGTTGTTTAAAAATGCAATTATATAAAAGCAAAATGGATTTCCTTTAACCCAACACTTTGTTAAAATCAGTCTACCTGGGGGTAAAATGTAAGATATTCTGTTCTGTGTTAAGCAGCTAAAAAAAGTGAACAAGAGCTAAAGGATGAAGAAATGGAGTTGTTTACAAAATACTACATGGAATGGAAAGGAGGAAGAAAAAGCGTTAATACATCCTACATGAATATACCACGGTTTTATTACAGGGTAAGTGGTATATCCAGAGCTACTTAAACCTAAGAATATACCACTCAAAGCAGAAAATCTTTACCCCTTTAATACTGGCATTTTAGTAGCAAAAGCTACATTGGGTCAGAATTTGAGAGAGTTGTGTTGTGAGTGTTTTTCCCTTCTAGCTGTGGATTTAATGAATCTCATACAGCTGCTGAGGAGGATCTGATTAAGCCATGAAATAGTTTGCTAATGCTGTAGCTAATTGGTTAATTGGGTTAGGCATTGAGCAACATAAAATATATATTTTCTCTGTTTTCAAAACTTGAAAGCCCACTTCCCATCTTTTCCAACCTTTACATGCAATTCATGACCCTGGAATGCCAGTATCGTGAAGTCCCTACCCTGTTTCCTGAGCATTTTTACAATAAAAATAGAATGCTCTGTCCTAGACCTTTAAATAATCAGTAAAAACTATTTTTGTCTACTTTTTCACATATGTATCCATTATATAAAATAGTATCTTCTTAAATACAGCATGCTGAGGATTGAAGATGCTCCTACTGAAATATAGATTGCACTGACATCCCGTACATCCTCAGGTTCTAGTAAAATCCATGGCACACATCTGAGTGTACTGTTTGGCAAAAGTACTTAATGAAGCAGCAATATGAAATTTACATATTGAAAATGCTTATAAATTCACCGGAACTGTATTAAGGATTTTAGGTTACATTGACCAGGATATTGTTCAGTGTCAGATGTTTGGCAATAGTTGTACCATGCAAAAAATATGAAAAGGTATTTTTATGCATCAATCAAAGTTGGGCTATAAACCAAGAAGTAATAGGAGACAGTGACTTGAGACATTTTGCAGTTATTTGTCTTTCATGAGATCAGAAACTAAGATCTTGCAGTGGTTTTGGCTCCATAGCGAACATAATTCCAGTTCATATTACAAAGTTTATAATATCACTGTGGAAATATTTAGGCCATATATAATACACGATAAAAACATACTCCTTCCTTCCATCCTATTTTTTTGGTAGATTGCATATTGTTACAGATTAGACTGTAAACTCTTTGTAAGACATAGACTTGTATTCTGAAGTGCTTGTAGAGCACCTACCAAAACAGGACCCTGATCCTGATTGGGGATTAAGGAATGCAATACAAATAATAACATTGTAATATTTTTAGCTACCAGCTGAGGATGAAGTCTTACTGCAGAAATTAAGAGAAGAATCTAGAGCAGTCTTTCTACAGAGAAAAAGTAGAGAGCTGTTAGATAATGAAGAGCTGCAGGTAAGAAGGCACTAAGAATGTATCATTTCTTAATCTAACCATCAGAGGAGTGAAGTTCTGGAACAGCCTTCCAAGGGGAGCAGTGGGGGCAAGAACACTAACTTGCTTCAAGACTCAGCTTGATAAGTTTATGGAGGGGATGGTCTGATGAGATGGCCTACAATTGCATGTAGCTGGTCTGCGACTGCGAGCAGCAAATATCTCCAATGGCTGGTGATGGGACAGAAGATGAGGAGGGCGCTGAGTTATTATAGAGAATTATTTCCCAGTTGTCTGGCTGCTGGGTCTTGCCCACATGCTCAGGGTTTAACTGATCACCATATCTGGGGTTGGGAAGGAATTTTCCCCTGGGTCAGATTGGCAGAGACTCTGGGGGGTTTTCGCCTTCCTCTACAGCATGGGGCACAGGTCACTTACAGGTTTAAACTAGTGTAAATGGTGCATTCTCTGTAACTTTAAGTCTTTAAACCATGATTTGAGGACTTCAGTAACTCAGCCAGAGGTTATGGATCTATTATAGGAGTGGATGGGTGAGGTTCTGTGGCCTGCAACATGTAGGAGGTGAGATTAGGTTATCGTGATGGTCCCTTCTGACCTTAAAGTCTATGAGTCTATTGTTAGGGCTTGTCTTCACTGCAGAGTTAACTTAAGCTCTTACGTCAAGTGTTGCCCCTATCCTGGCTCCTGCCCACCCACAAAACCTCTCACCTGAGTGTGGTGGTGCTTTACATCCCAGATAGTTGGCCCATCTTGGGGTGTGAGCTAAAGCTTAAGTGCTGTTTACACATGGGCTGCTAGCCTGCCAGTTTTGTAGTGTGAACGCAGGTTAAATCACTCAAGTGCTGATAGTCCTCCAATGCCTTCCCACAATTCCCCCTGAATAGCCAGGAAAGACAAGTTCTCCCACAATTCACCAGGGGTGCTGGAGCAATAATGGGGGTGCTGAGAGCCATTGAACCAAACTGTAAACCCTCTATATGATAGAAACTTCTTCAAGCTAGGGGGTGCAGGAGCACCCCCTAGTTCCAGTACCTATGCAATTCACTGAGAAAGAATCAAAGAACAGCTTAACTTACTGGGTACAAAGAACTATGGGCTATGGCCCCCCAAATGATACACACAGATGAGTAGAGTACCAGTATGGATGCAGTTGGGTGGACACATTCAACTATAGGTTTGCAATGTGGCGGCTTGCACCTGAGCTAGGCCAACCTGGGTGCTCAAAGCTGAGTGCCAGTCGCCCAAATTAACTCTGCATTGAAGACATACTCTTAGATATGAGTACAGCTACGATTTAGTCACTGGTATTTTTAGTAAAAGTCATGGGCAGGTCACGGGCAATAAACAAAAATTCACAGCCCTTGACCTGTCCATGACTTATAACAAAAATGCATGTGATTAAATCTTGGCCGGGGGGAGGGGGAAGGTTCCGGGGGCACTGCTGGGGCGGGGCATCGGGGGGGAGGGAGCCGGGGCCAGTGGCACCAGGGGCCAGGGGCCATGGACCGTGGCTGCTCCGTCCACCCCAGGACCACTGCCGGGGTCTGCTGGAGCAGTGGCTGCTGTGGCTGTCCCCGGGGCCACCTGAGCTGCTGGCCCTGGGGTCAGCCACACTGGCCCCTGCAGAAGTCACGGAGGTCGCAGAAAGTCACCAAATCCGTGTCTTCTGTGACATCCGTGTCAGACACAGAGCCCTAGATATGAGTAACCTGTTTGAGCACGTTAACATTTGTTACGTGATATTTCCCTAACCAAATCTAAATCCCTTTTAAGAATTTGTGGTTTCTGCTGGACAAACATCAGACACCACCTATGATTGGGGAGGAAGCAATGATCAATTATGAGAGCTTCTTGAAAGTTGGTGAGAAAGCTGGACCCAAGTGCAAGTAAGGCTCCTTTATCTAGTGCATGCTTACTAAAGCTAAACAGCTATTTAAGATCATAATACTATTTAACTATCTAACTATTTGAAGTTATAATAGGAAGTTTAACTAAGGGTGAGCAAATGGTATTATATAAGAAAATTATCACTGGACTCTTCAATTTGCACCTCTGCAAAAAAGTTAATGTCAGACATGGTAGGATCCTTTTGATTGAGATGCCCCAGTAAATCCTGTTTCATTTTAATTAAGAGGAAGTTCTTACGAACAGAAATACCATTCTAATAGTAATGCTACTGTCCAGGAAACCGCAGAGCTCATGTGGCTGGGAAGAAGCACTATCTACACTAACGGATGGACTGATCCTGGTGCCTCTCCAGTGTCAGAGGCCTCTTTTATACACCCAGCATAGCAGCCCAGTTAGTTTGTTTGATTTGGCAGAAGCAAATTAATAGTCAAGAACAGGTTGTAGTCAGGCAGGTCATACAGTTTCTTCATACATCATCCTAGTTAAGGAGACTTGGAAGCTGCTAAAAGGGTAAATAGATTTAACCAGAATTGAAATACACAAAAGACCATTAAATCATCAGAAGGCATCTCCACTAAGCAGCAGTTGATGCTGTTCATTATTGAGCTTAAATCTGAGCTGTCCTAGTTAAGTGGTGCATAGTTTACTTTCTATAAATAGAAACAAAGCGTTTGATATTATAATGTGGGAAACTACTCTTGAAACCAATGAGGAAAATTGGACAGGGAGCGACTGCAGTATCAGGACATTACATTTTATATTTTGTTTTTGTTGTAGAAAACCAGGCAGCTCTGAAAATTCAGGTTAATTTTCTGATCTCTTATATCCATTGTATGTCACTGCGCATCTCTCTTAAAATCTCTTACTTTACTTGTGCAATTCATTCATGTTACAGATTTTCTGAGGCACCTGGATAGCATGCCTGAGATTAAGATCTGGCCTAGTGTCTTCTATTCTTTTTATCCATTTCCAGAAAAATAACATATCCTATCCTGTCATGAAATAATATTCAGACGAATGTTAGTTGTTTTATATACTGTAGCTGGATCAACCAGTCAACTTGATGTCATTATATTAGGTTTGCACAGTCTGAGGCTTGGTCTACAGTAAAAAGTTAGATCAACCCAGCTACGTCACTCAGGGGTATGCAAAATCCACACCCTTGAGCGACCTAGTTAAGCCGACCTAACCCCTGGTGTAGACGGCACTAGGTTGATGGAAGAATTCATTCTATAGGTAGTGTCTAGATTGTCGCATTTCAAGCCCTTAGTGTCGACAAACCCTTAGTGTTGTCATTCTTGTGTTTCATAGGCAGTTCTTTACAGCGAAAGTCTTTGCTAAATTACTCCACAATGATCCCTATGGAAGGATATCTATCATGCAGTTCTTCAATTATGTGATGAGAAAAGGTGAGTAGATATTTCTTCTGTGATATTGAATATTATTTTATTTTCAGGCGTATTTAAGTTGTATTATATTCCTAGTGTATGGCCCTTCACCTGTTGAAGTCTAACAGGACACTTGCAGTTCTCTTCAACAGGAGCAATATCTGGCCCTTAGGTTACAAATCCTATTTTCCTGTTCCACCTTTTTTTCCTGAGTATTGTTTTATAGGAAAAAAGATTCAAACTCCTGAAATATCAATGGCAGGTTCCTTATGGCTTTGAAATAAAGCTTTTGAAAGTCATCTGCCTTCCTGCTTACTCACACCTTGACTTCCTGCTAAGACTGTTCCAAGCTACTGTTGCAGATTTGACACCACACAAGGAAAAGTAGTGAATGGGTAACTATTTAAGATGCCTTATGCTCTTCTTTAAGCAACCGAGGGCTTGTACACATTACCATGTATGTCAGTATAACTTATGTCGCTCCAGGGTGTGAATAAGCCACTAACCTAAGCGCCAGTGTGGACAGAGATGTGCCAGCTTCTCTCACCAATATAGCTACCACCTCTTGTGGAGGTGGTTTTGTGATGAGAGGTCTCTCCTGTTGGCATAGGGCGTCTTCACCAGACGTGCCACAGTGGCGCAGCTGCATCAGTGCAGCTGTGTTGCTGTAGCGCTTCTAGAGTAGACCAGCCCTGAGTTCCACAACAAGCTTTTTTTGTTAGTTTTGGGTTTCTTCCATTACACACTTAGGTGTAAGCAGGTTGTCTGTGTGGCACCCTCTTGTGAATAGATCAGTTCACATCTCTCGGAGCTATTGTGTCAAACTATATTCTTCTCCAGGGAATGTTCTGATTAATCTGAAAATGTCTTATTAAGAAGAATGAACCCTTCACACCTCTGTACTCCTATGCTGCAGAAGATTGTGCAGAGCCCCTTCCCCCTACATTAGTCCCCAGAGTGGAATCTGGAGCTTCCCTCCACTCTGCCTTACTGCTTCCAGCTGGTAGATGTGCTTCTCACAGCCCATCAGTTACAACTTTCCTTTCTCCCCATACCTTCCCAGCCCTACTGAGAGCATGGAGGAGCCAGGGGGAGGGCAGAAGTGGTATCTGAATAGTAGTGAGGTGTTCCCAGGAAGCCTCCTTGTGCCCCTGAATCATACCTTCCTTACTAACACCACTTCCTCAAAAACCAAGAGAAATTCACTGCCCAAAAACTTGGTTTACACAGAGTTAAGGTTGACCTGCAGAAGCTTGTATCCTTTCAGAACATCAAATGCACCTATACTTAAACCTCTGCAAACCAGGAAACACAGAGTTCAGGCACACACCAGTTCTACCCTGCACTCTTAACTCTGCCCACTTCGAGTGATATCCCTGTGATATGTCCCTTCCGGGGTGCCACCTGGAACTGGGGTACAGCTGAGCCCTCTGTTCTACCAATCTGGGTTCCCTCTCACACTGTGATGTTGTGATAAGCTGCAAAGCCCTCCAAGCTTGCGCTCACACCAACATCCACAGGCAGGGATCACACCCAGCTGTGTTCATGGATGCTCTGCCAGTCACTGTGTGAACCAACAATAGATAGGCTCCAGCCAAAATACCCGCAGCTCCCCAGCCTAGGAACCTGGATCTGTACCATCCTGCCCTGGTCAAAACTTGACCAGTATGAATTTATTACCTAGTCCGCCCCTCCCTCAATGTGAAGAGGACGATGCACATACCCTTGTTAACTGAGCTGAGATTTTTCCCCAAACCCTTCACTCAAAACCACACTGGTTAAGATAAAACATAAAACAGATTTATTAACTACAGAAAGATAGATTTTAAGTGATAGCAAACAGATGAAAGTCAATTACCATAAGAAATAAAACAAAACTGCAATCTAAGCCTAATGTAATAGTTAGGATTTGAATCAAGCAGTGTCTCACTCAGTTAGATAGTACAATCAGGTTAGCTTTTGCATACACAGGCAGGCTTCCTTCTTTCCTGCCTGGGACTAGCACTCTCGCCCCCCACCCCCAGTTCAGTCTTTTTTCCTCCAGTACTTTCAGGTGTTGTGTTGTAGAGAGATTGAAGCCAAGTTTTATATCTTCTTCCAACTTGCTGGAAAGCTCTTTTGCTGTGACCTGGGTCAAACAGTTCCCATTGTGTAGTGCTATGTCTGAGAGGTTTCTATTGTACGCAGTTCCTGGGGTAATCCATGTGCTTGTGTGTATTTCCTCAATAAGCAATCAACATTGTTTGGCCTTTTTATTGTTGTACCTGAAAGTCTGCTTATGGGTGTTTTCAACCTCACAACATGTTTCAGTAGCACATACATAGCCAAACTTCATAACTTCACATACAGTGATAGTACTTACAATCCAATGAGATATTGATGTCTAGCAGATCAGGACTTTTAGAATGATATTCACAAGGCATACTTTGTACAAAACATATCATAATTATATGCAGTGGTGAATATGGGGGTGCCAGGGTGTCACAAGCCCAACCTGCCCCTGACAAGTGACATAGCACTCTATTCTGCTAGATGATATGGAGTATTGGTGGAGACAAAGCACATAGGTACAGTAGGAGAAAATGTCAAACCATGTCCTCACTAAGGCAAAAGTTGTGTTTACGTTGGGTTTAGTGAACATGAGCTGCCTCCGCCTGGCCTATACTCACCCACTCCACCTATCCTGCACAGACTACCCCAATTTTGCCAGATGATAGCATCCCTAAGGATTCCTGGTGGAATATGTCCTACTCTTATCCCTGTCCTGTAGTGCGCTATCATGGATACTATCATACTACTACAAATTCCCACGTCAAGATTGAACTGTGTTGCTTCACTCTTTGAACAACCCACATAACTCAGTGCAAAAACGAGGGCTCCACATAGGTGTAGATGCACCTCTCCATATATTGTGGTGTGGGCTATTGCAACTTGCTAGAAGTAATCCCTGCACCAGTTTCTAAAGGGGACGTCTATACTGCATCAGGGAGGTGTAATTTCCAGCTTAGGTAGGCAAACACACAATAGCTCTGCTCAAGCTAGAAGTAGCAGTGTGGCCTGAGCAGCTAGCCATGAAGAAGGACCTTAGATAGGATTGTACTCAGGTATTGTAGGATTGTAGCCATGAGGAAGGACCTAGGACCTTGGCTAGGATTGTACTCAGGTAGCTAGCCCAAATCACTCTGCCTGTGCCACCCCAGCCACAATGCTAGTTTTAGGTGCTGGCTCGAGCAGAATGCACGCATGTCTACTCAAGATGGGAATTACAACCCCAGCTGCTGGGTTGGTATACCCTAACAGTAACAGTAAAGGGCCATTGAAGTACATACTCCTGGGGGAATTTTGTGCTACTGCACATGCACAAAATTCATGCCCCCATGGATTTCTTTGCTTCCTTGCAGAAAAATGATTTCTGATGGTGAAGCAAAGAGAAGCTGCAAAAGTGGTCACACACCCCTCCCCTGCAGCGAAGGTGTGGCGTTTTGGGTGCCTGGAGCAGCCAGCAGGGAGGTAAATCATTGCGGGTGGCTGAGGCCGCACTGGCCAATGGCTCCTACCCTGCATCATGCTCATCTCTAGTCCCAGCCAGGCTGGAGGTCGGGGAGGACGGGACTTCCTCTTCCCTTGCAAGGAGCGGCCATGGCCGGGTCAGAAAGCTGCTTCCCCTTGCACAACCCCTGTGCATCCAGACCCCCCCCCCATATACCCAGATACCCTCCCCGAACCTCAACCCCTGCACCTAGACCATCCCCTGCTGAATCCCCTGCACTCAAACCCCCACCTCAACGAGCCCCATCCCCCTACACAACCCTGATAAGCTCCCTGCACCCTCCCCCCACTGAGCCCCAACCAGTTGCTCCTGGACCCCCCCACTGAGCCCCCACACCAAGCCCCATCCCCCACATCCTGACTTCCCGTGCTGAGCCCCAACCACCTTCACCTGGATCCCCCTGCAGAGTCCCATTCCCACTGCACCTGGAACCCCCCAACGAGCCCCTGTGCATCCAGATCCACCCTGCATTCCCCACACCAGGCTGCCCACACCCAGATTGCCCCACATAGAAGCCTCTCACCCCACACCTGGATCCCCCCACACTTAGATCCTTTCGGGCTGAGCCTGCTTGCCCCACACCCAGATTGGGGGCTAGGGTTGGATGTGCGCGTTCAAGACTCTGTCTCTCTCACTTGCTATCTTGGTTTGCATGGCACAGAGGGGCATGACCCTGGGGTATTTCTGGGGCAGGCCCGGCCCTTGCACTCTGTCAGGGTCAGGTGCAGCCTCACTGCCAAGTCCGTGTCCCCAGGGGGGTGCGGCTGCAGGATGATCTCCCACCTCCGTGCAGCCAGTGGCCTGTGCTCCCCACTGCCATGCTGGAGCCTCCACATATATTTATTGACAAAATATGCAGAATGTTGCAGAATTTTAAAATATTGTGTGCAGAATTTTTATTTTTTTTGGTGCAGAATTTTTAATTTTTTGGCACAGAATTCCCTCAGGAGTAGTAAGTACATGCCAATAAATTAGAGAATACAATTCCATGGGACACAACACACCACATAAAATGGCACATTTACTTAGTCATTCCTCATAGTTGCATGTGGGGCAACCTTGGCTGAAACATACTTACAGTATATCCCCAGTGACGCTTGTTAACTCTGGGTGGTAGGGTAAAGATTGTGGGGCAGGATTGATATGTACCTTAAATCTGTAATTCCTGGTTTTCAGAGGATTAAGTATAGGTGCATTTGACATTCTGAAAGGGTACAAGAGACTGTCAGTCAACTTTAACTCTGTTAACTAAGTATTCTTTGCCCCAAAAAAGGAACCTGTATCATGATTCTAAATCCTTTTTTACAGTATGGCTTCACCAGACAAGAATAGGCCTCAGTTTATATGATGTGGCAGGACAGGGTTACCTCAGAGAATCGGTAAGTACTGCCCCCTCAGTAAATTTAATGTACTTTATCCTGGGTAGCTTAAATCAACAGAGAGGATAAAGGTGACTTGTACTTTAATGTTTCTCCATTAGAGTAAGATCCCAATAGTCCAGACATCTTGGGTGACACCAGATTTGTTTGGATAAAGAGGAGCTTATACATAGTAATAGAGATTTAATAGCAAGGGAATCGCTAGTTTGGGAGACATACTGGTAATTCCTTAGGGAGATTTCAATACTAAGATTTCAGATAATTGATATTCTATTATATTTATTGATAAAGAGGTGATGTAAAAGACTGGTGCTAAAAATGCTCTTCAGATTATTTTATCTTTACACATGTAGCAGTCTTAAAAAATAAAATAAAATCTATGATCGAATATTAAGTGAAAAGAAAATCCAGATCCCACAATTGTGCACTGGCATTCGGCAAAGATTCGATTGACCACATATTCACATGTATTTCTCCTTCCCCCCTGTTTTACTAATGAAACAGTGCCAGTCATAATGCCAGGTGTGCATTTTACATGGTGTTCATCTTGAAGAAACAACCTCAAGTGTACAGAAATCTTTGTTTCATCATATGAGGGAGCACTGTCTCAGCACCCTCTGTTCTTCCTGTTGCTCCTGGTGTCTTTTAATTTTGACACCAAAAAAACTGCTGCTGTGCAGTCATATGCTCTTCTCCTGTTACTTTTACTGGCAATGGTATAAGCCATCTGAATAGAGGTTTTAATTAGTCTCTAATTATTCAAGATACCATCTGATTTACTAGGTGCAGTAAATTTCTGAAATTTGTAGAGGAAGAGATCATCATTAGTCAAACTCGGGTTTAAAAATTTGAAGAAAGGGAGAGGTTTTAGGTGATTAAATAACTCAAGCAGTACAGTGACATTGCAGGATAATATTTTCAACAAATAAAACTTGTAAAGCAAAAGAATAATTTAAACAATTAATTTAAATTGAACAATGGCAATGTTTATAATCTCAAAGCATATTTTCTTTCCTTTTTTAATTTTGCAGGATTTAGAAAATTATATTTTGGAACTTATCCCTACTTTGCCACAGTTGGATGGTTTAGAAAAATCATTTTACTCGTTCTATGTCTGCACTGCGGTTAGAAAGTTCTTCTTCTTTTTAGACCCTCTCAGAACAGGTAAACTTATGTTTTCAAACTCTCAAACATATGTGGAAATGTTTTTACTTTTAAAATAGGAATACTGAAGTTGTTTCTATCTTCATAACATTGTACAAATATTTTCATAGGCCCCAATCTTGCAATCGGATCTGTGCGGACTGAACTCTACTGAAGACTGTGGGGTTCTGCATAGGTTTAATGGTGTGTCTGCACAGATCAGATTGCAGGATCAGAGTCAGAATGAGTCCTAATGAAATACCACCTCAGAGTTGTACTCCAGAGTATTTGCTTAGAAATTAAAAATAATATGTTGGGCCATACTGCTGCAAAAATAAATGAACTAGGATTAGCTTTATATTAATCCCTACTACAGTTAAGTGCAGTACAACAACTACCGCAGTTCTGATGGTATTCTGCCAAGTAATTCTTCTCATAAAACACAAGCCAGAGATCTTTCTGTCAATCTGATATACTCTCGTTAGTTGGATTTTTGAGTATCTCTGGCCTAATCTACACTAGAAAAGGTTTGTGGTATAGCTATACCAGGAAACCATCCTAGTGTAGACAGAGCTTCCACCATCAAAAGAGTGCTTTTGCTGGTATAGCTTATACCAGTTCCCTGAATGAAATAAGCTGTTTTGGCATGTTTTGCCACTATAACTATGCCTACATATTAGGCCTTTTGCCAGTATAAAAAATGTTGTATTAAAGCAAAAAAATCACACCCAACCAATGTTACTATCCTGTTAAAAGTTTTCGGTATAGACCTGGCCTATAACTTTCACAAATGCACAAACACAAGTTGTTTATGTTTCACTTGTGACTTTGTAATAAACACTCATAATTTTGATCCTAACTTCCTGTCTTTAAAATTGTGTAATTCCATAATGATTCCTTTTTGAACTGAGACACAGTTTACAAATGTCAGGCTTTGTACACTATAACAGCTAATTTGTATTTTTTTTTTAAATGACTTGTGTTTGATCCTTAAATTTAACATTTTAACTTGTGTTTGTGTGATAAGCTTTTTTATTGATTCTCTTTTTGATGGATTAGGAAGCATAATTGATAATAAAAAGTTTGCATTGTTTTTCCTGGTAATCTTTGGGACCCAATCTTGGTAATCTTATTCACTCAGTACCACAAAAGTAAATGGAACCTCTCAAGTGAGTCAGGCCAGGTTGATGTGTAACTAGGTGACCATGTTACATATTTTTTTTTCTTTTCCCACAGGCAAGATAAAGATACAAGATATTTTAGCTTGCAGCTTTCTGGATGACTTATTGGAGGTAAAAATCTCTTGACATGTTTTGTTATTTCACTTTGCACTTCCTGAATTCTAACTGTGTGCTTCCTTTTCATTTAGTTAAGGGATGAAGAACTTTCTAAAGAAAGTCAAGAAACAAATTGGTTTTCTGCTCCGTCCGCATTGAGGGTTTATGGTATGTTCCTACATGCACAGTCATTTGTATTCACTAGCTTGCATAATTTTGTCAGAGACTCAGTATTACCTTTCCTCTGTGGTCCCATATCTGTGTAAAACCCCACTGCTTAGATAATCTTCCTCTCTTGCTTCCTCCATTCTTCACTACATCCCTCTCACCTTCTGCATCATGTTCATGTTTTTGGTCCTCAAATTCACTATCCCTTACATCTCTCTACATGCTCCTTAGACTCTTCCCTACCTTCTGTCCTAACTGCTCCCGATGTCTATTCCCACTCTTATCTGTGCATCTCTTCTTTACCCCTGAAACAGCCCCCTCCTTGTGTGCCAATCGCCCTCCATTCCTTCTTTAAAACTACTTTTGCCGCTAAACTTTCTTACATTGTTGCTCTCCATTTCTGTACTGAGGCTTGTTCTAGTCCATCTACCATCTTCATGTGACTTATGCTGTTAGTGCTTTGGGGCAGGGACCTTGTCTTTCTACATTCTGTATATGCTTAGGGTGCACTATAAATATTCTTACGGAGCTAGAACATTGCAATTTAATAACTTTACTTATACATTTAATCCAAAAGAATGTGAAATATGTTAAATGAACTTGACACTTCTGTGTGTTGTCACATTAAAATTTACTTCTATGATGTAGGGAGATTTTATTGTATTTTCAGTCTATTTTCTTCTTCCTAGGCCAGTATTTAAATCTTGACAAAGATCACAATGGTATGCTCAGCAAAGAGGAACTGTCCCGCTATGGAACAGGGACTCTGACCAACATATTTTTAGATCGTGTCTTCCAGGAATGTCTGACTTATGATGGAGAAATGGTAATCATGTATCTCTAGCTTGCACTCCGATTTACACATTCTGTACTAAAACTATGATAGATATATTAGCATAAGCATTATCTTTAAAACAAAGAACAGATTAAAGTAATATGACTATTTTATTTAGTACCTGCTTCTGCAAATAGAACAGAGCAGGAGCTTAGAAAATATAATTATCTGATTATTACCAAAAAGCATAATGTGTTATTCCAGTATATTTTTGTAAAAGGAGATGAGGTACCATTGTAACAAACCAAGATAATCCAGTATAAATTTTCCTCTCCAATAACTGAAGGCAGTAATGTTAACTAAATGTGGAGAAGCAGGAATGTTTCTGGAATGATTTTGGCTCTTTCTCTTTAATGAAATCCAAATGGCAAGTAACTGAACAATGTTCATTAGAGAGCTGACGCAGCAGCTAGTTAAATAATAAACCTCATTGTGCAGTTAATGTGAGGCAGAAGACTATGGTGGTTTTGCTGTGTGCCTCCTACAGCTATGAGAGTGAATAGTGAGGAGCCTATAAACTAAAACTAAAGACTTAGGATGGACAAAGACAATCAGTGAAAACGTATGTGTATATTGTTTATCATGAAACACTTCATTTATAGTGTATCACTGTTCTTTGTGTTTATGTTGAGATGGTTTATAAAATGCAAACTTAGTTAATTGTGAATTCACCCTAGCGGTCTGTGTTCTGGGGCTCCAATTTTAAGCTAAAGTGGATGGGGTTGTGATGAATGCATAGAAATACAGTGTATATGTAACCTATGTAGGTAGCTATAGTTAATTTGTTGTATTGTGGTCAAGAAACCAAAGCAGTGGCACTAACAGAAAAAAGAGAAAATATGATCCAAATTCTACTATATTTAATGTCCCAACCCAGGGTCTGTTTGGTCCTATAAGTCCTGCAGCATTAGTTACCCTGTTTTGAGAGTCCTGTGTTTTAGGTACATTGGTCATGTGGCCCACTCTCAGCCAATGGCAAGCCTATCAATATTTTAGTGCTATAAACTATTGACTAGAAGTGGAGGAAATTTTTGGAAACTACCTTGTCATATGGTCCCCATCTCAGCCAACTGGACTATGCTTGGCAATCTAAGGATGTAATAAACAAATATTGTTTAAATGTATATAGCCTGTTTCATTTGGATTTCTGGACAGACTCCTTAGTGTACAAATAAAATGTCAGTGAAAAAGTATGGGTATGCTGCCTCAGTAAATCATAGAAACAAACTTCTCCGTTCACTTCAGTGGCAGCAACCATTTTCTGTTTCATGTTGTTGTCTTCCAAAAAAACCTAATGGCTACCCTACAGTGAAATAGCCACCAATTACGATGTTCCTGCTTGCAAAATCAATTTAAAAAGATGACTGTAATAATCATGGTTGTATTTTCTTTTAGGACTATAAGACCTACCTGGACTTTGTGCTTGCATTAGAAAACAGAAAAGAACCTGCAGCTCTACAATATATTTTCAAACTGCTTGATATAGAGAACAAAGGATACCTGAATGTTTTTTCCCTGAATTATTTCTTTAGGGTAAGTCTCTATATGTGTGTTGTTATAGTCTCTGTGCTTCTACTTACAGATCTGCAGGGAAACACTTTAAATTACCTATGCTCACTATGAGGTTTTTGTCAACTTTAAAAAAGATTTAAAATGTTAAAACCTCACATTCTAAAACTTGGAAATAATTCAAAAGGCATTTTCAACATCTTACCTGCATTAGAAACTAAACTGCTTTGATTTAATTTAAATCAATAGAAAATAATTTTGGTGTTCCAACAGTTGAAATTGCCCTATAATGAAGACTTACTTACAAGGTAAAAAGCTGTATGGGATGGTCTTAATTTCTTTATACACAGTGTTTCAGTGCCTCAGAGGATCCAAAATGCATTATAAGTAATAGAAAATGCAATGGTAGTTGTGTGCAGTCACTTAAGGGCTTTTATATTTAGTGTGCAGATCACAGAATCATAGGACTGGAAGGGACCTCGAGAGGTCATCTAGTCCAGTCCCCTGCACTCATGGCAGGACTAAGTATTATCTCTAGACCATCCCTGACAGGTGTTTGTCTAACTTGCTTTTAAAAATCTCCAATGATGGAGATTCCACAACCTCCCTAGGCAATTTATTCCATTGCTTAACCACCCTGACAATTAGGAAGTTTTTCCTAATGTCCAACCTAAACCTTCCTTGCTGCAATTTAAGCCCATTGCTTCTTATCCTATCCTCAGAGGTTAAGGAGAATAATTTTTCTCCCTCCTCCTTGTAACAACCTTTTATGTACTTAAAAACTGTTATCATGTCCCCCCCCCCAGCCTTCTCTTCTCCGGACTAATCAAATCCATTTTTTTCCAATCTTCCCTCCTCGGTCATGTTTTCTAGACCTCTAATCATTTTTGTTACTCTTAACTGGATTTGCTCCAATTTGTCCACATTTTTCCTGAAATGTGGCACCCAGAACTGGACACAATACTCCAGTTGAGGGCTAATCAGCATGGAGTAGAGCAGAAGAATTACTTCTTGTGTCTTGCTTACAACATTCCTGCTAATACATCCCAGAATGATGTTTAGTTTTTTTGCAACAGTGCTCCACTATGACCTCCAGATCCCTTTCTGCAGTACTGTTTTCTATGCAGTCATTTCCCATTGTGTATGTGTGCAACTGATTGTTCCTTCCTAAGTGGAGTACTTTGCATTTGTCCTTATTGAATTTCATCCCATTTACTTCAGACCATTTCTCCAGTTTGTCCAGATCATTTTGAATTTTAATTCTATCCTCCAAAGCACTTGCAACCCCTCCCAGCTTGGTATCGTCCACAAACTTTAAATGTACTCTCTATGCCATTATCTAAATCCTTGATGAAGATATTGAACAGAACCGGACCCAGAAATGATCCCTGCGGGACCCCACTCAGTATGCCCTTCCAGCTTGACTGTGAACCACTGATCACTACTCTCTGGGAATGGTTTTCCAACCAGTTATGCTTCCACCTTATAGTAGTTCCATCTAGGTAGTATTTCCCTAGTTTGTTTATGAGAAGATCGTGCAAGATAGTATCAAAAGCCTTACTAAAGTCAAGGTATACCACATTTACCGCTTCCTCCCTGTCCACAAGGCTTGTCACCCTTTCAAAGAAAGCTATTAGGAGGGCATGAAAATGATCAGGGGGCTGGGGCACATGGCTTACAAGGCGAGACTGAGGGAACTAGGCTTGTTTAGTCTGCAGAAGAGAAGAGTGAGGGGGGATTTGATAGCAGCCTTCAACTACCTGTAAGGGGGTTCCAAAGGGGATGGAGCTCGGCTGTTCTCAGTGGTGGCAGATGACAGAACAAGAAGCAGTGTTGCAGTGGGGGAGGTCTAGGTTGGATATTAGGAAACACTATTTCACTAGAAGGGTGGTGAAGCACTGGAATGGGTTACCTAGGGAGGTGGTGGAATCTCCATCCTTAGAGGTTTTTAAGGCCCGTCTTGACAAAGCCCTGGCTGGGATGATTTAGTTGGTTTTGGTCCTGCTTTGAGCAGGGGGTTGGACTAGATGACCTTCTGAGGTCTCTTCCAACCCTAATCTTCTATGATTAGGTTGGTTTGACACAATTTGTTCTTGTCAAATCCATGCTGACTCTTACTTATCACTTTATTATCTTCTGGGTATTTGCAAATTGATTGCTTAATGATTTGCTCCATTATCTTTCAGGGTACTAAAGTTAAACTGACTGGTCTGTAATTCCCCAGGTTGTCCTTATTTCCATTTTTATAGATTGGCAATATATTTGCCCTTTTCAAGTCCTCTGGAATCTCTCCCATCTTCCATGACTTTTCAAAGATAATCGCTAATGGCTCAGATATCTCCTCAGTCAGTTGCTTGAGTATTCTAGGATGTATTTCATCAGGTCCTGGTGACTTGAAGACATCTAACTCATCTAAGTAATTTTTAACTTGTTCTTTCCCTATATTAGCCTCTGATCCTACCTCATTTTCACTGGCATTCACTATGTTAGTCATCCAATCGCTGCTAACCTTTTTGATGAAAACCAAAACAAAAAAAGGCATTTAGCACTTCTGCTTTTCCACTTTTTCTGTTATTGTTTTTCCCCCCTCGTTGAGTAATGGGCCTACCTTGTCCTTGGTCTTCCTCTTGCTTCTAATGTATTTGAAGAATGTTTTCTTGTTACCCTTTATGTCTCTAGCTAGTTTAATTTCGTTTTGTGCCTTGGTCTTTCTAATTTTGTCCCTACATACCTGTTATTTGTTTATATTCCTCCTTTGTAATTTGACCTAGTTTCCACTTTCTGGAGGACTCTTCTTTGAGTTAGATCATTGAGTATGTCCTGGTTAAGCCATCATGGTCTCTTGCCATACTTCCTATCTTTCCTACACAGTGGGATAGTTTGCTATTGTGCCCTTAATAATGTTGCTTTGAAAAACTGCTAACTCTTGAACTGTTTTTCCCCTTAAACTTGCTTCCCCTGGGATCTTACCTATCAAGTCACTGAGTTTGCTAAAGTCGGCCTTCTTGAAATCCATTATCTTTATTGTACTGTTTTCCCTTCTACCATTCCTTAGAATCATGAACTCTACCATTTCATGATCACTTTCACATAGGCTGCCTTTCACTTTCAAATTCTCTACCAGTTCTTCCCTATTTGTCAAAATCAATCTAGAACAGCCTCTTCCTTAGTAGCTTTCTCCACCTTCTGAAATAAAAAATTGTTTCCAATATATTCCAAGAACTTGTTGGATAATCTGTGCCCTGCTGTATTATTTTCCCAACAGATGCCTGGGTAGTTGAAGTCCCCCATCACTAAGGATACGTTTTAGTCACGGGTATTTTTAATAAAAGTCATGGACAGGTCACGGGCAGTAAACAAAAATTCACTGCCCGTGACCTGTCCATGACTTGTACTAAAAATACCCCTAACTAAAACTGGGGGAGGGAACTCGGGGGGAACTGCAGGTGCTGGGGAGTGGGGTGCGGGTGCTCGGGGGGTGAGTTGTGGCTGGGGGAGGGGGAGTGCTGTGGGTGCTGGAGAGGGGGGGCGCAACCCGGGGTGCGTGTGCTGTGGGTGCTGGAGGGGGGGCACAGGGGCCAATTGCGGCCCGGGGGATGCCATGGGGTGGGGGGAGGGACAGGGACAACAGGCTCCTTACCTAGCTCCTGGGAAGTGGCGGCCCCAGCTCCCTAACTCCACATGTTGCCTCGGCTCCGCCCCAAGCCCCAGTTCTGCAGTTCCCATTGGCTGGGAACCATGGCCAATGGGAGCTGCGGGGACGGTGCTGTCAGCAGAGGCAGCATGTGGAGCTAGGGCAGCTGAGGGAGGGGCTCTCCTCCCCGCCCCAGGTAAGCAGCAGCCCTGAGCCCCCCCACACCCAAACTCCTGCTGCTGGGAGGGGACAGTGGGCCCCCAAGACTGCCCCAGCAGCAGCCACTGCAACTGACCCAGGGGCTGCCTGAGCTGCTTAGGCAGCTCCTGGGCCAACCGCACGGGGCTGCTGCAGAAGTCACGGAATCTGTGATTTCCGTGACCTCCGTGACAAACATGGAGCCTTACCCATCACCACCAAGTCATATGCTTTGGATGATTTTGTTAGTTGTCTAAAAATAGCTTTCTCCACCTCTTCTTCTTAGTTAGGTGGTCTGTAGTAGACTCCTACCATAATATCACCCTTGTTTTTTACCCCTTTTATCCTTATCCAGAGACTTTCAACAAGTCTGTCTCCTATTTCCATCTCAACCTCAGTCCAAGTGTATACATTTTTAATATATAAGGCAACACCTCCTCCCTTTTTTCCCCTGCCTGTCCTTCCTGAGCAAGCTGTACCCTTCTATACCAATATTCCAGTCATGTTTATTATCCCACAAAGTCTCAGTGATGCCAGCTGGCAGACTTGTGTTTATTAACTTGCATTTTCAAGCATTTCATTTATTAACATTTCAAGATTGCACACTAATAACTCATTGCACCTTCTAAGGCTCTGTGAATCAAATATTTTTCTCAATATTTAGCTGTGAAGAAGGTTCTCATAGTTAAGCTTCCATTAAAAAACAGTAATTAAAATTACTCTAATTCCAAATTTACTTTTCTGTAACGTTATCTCCCTTTGGCTTGCAACGCTCCCTTCAAACTTTCCATATGGTTGAATCTCCTTGGAAACTTATGCAGTGCCTATATTTGCAGAAAATAGACTGTAAGTAAGAAAAGTTATCAATTATTTTTGGTGTTGATAGCTTGGGGCTCAATCCTGGCTTTGATTGATGTCAAAGGGAATTATTTGCCTGATCCTGTTCTCAGGCGTAAGATCCTTCTTCAGCAACAATTGTGTCAGATAAAGTTAGAATCACAAATATTTTTAGTTATCTGCACGTGGCATTTTGTACTAAGATACTAAAATCAACTGCATTTCATTGTACTCAAGCCTGCACTATCCAAATCAAGAACAAGTACATATTCATTCAGCTCATTAAGCATTCAGACATAGCTCATAAAGTCTTATTTATAGTCTCATGCCCTTTGCTGTTGTTCAGTAATAAACCTTCTGTCTATTAAACAAAAACCCTTTACTGATAGTGACTTCAATTATATCATTCTGGAAAAGCACGATCTTTCAACAGAAGTCTTCCAAATAAACACTGGAATAGTTTCAAAGCTTTTTCAGTAAGTGCTGTGCTGGTACAGAATCCAGCCTGAGCTGAATTCTATACAGAGCGTGAAACAGGTTCACTTTAGTATTGGCTTGTTGCTGGTGGTTCAGATGGTGCCAGAGAATTGTAATAAAAGAACTTGGTGACAATTTTGTCACAGTTGACAGAAAACCACTTGTAGTAGTTCTTAAATTACATAAAGCATGATTGCCAATTTCACAAGGTAAATCTGCATGAATTGGTGTCCTCACTGTCTGATCCAATGCCTATTGAAATCAGTGGAAAGACTCTCCTTGACTTCAGGGGACATTTGAGGAGGCCCTTAAGTTGGACTCCCTCAGCCTATTGGCGCCATGTGTTTTCTGCTGCTAAATACTGTTGGGTTGGTTATCACCATGTTGCATGGCTTCATTTAGTTAACTTACTAAATTTGTTAGTGCGTTGTACAAAGATGCTGACCTTCTCTTCCCAGCTTGTGGTTTAGTTTAGCTACTGCTGTGAATTATTTTAACCAACCAGAATCCAGGTTCCATCTTTCAAAGTAGCTTGCTATAGAAAATAAATACAGAACTCTGTCACAGGCATTGATTGGTCCTTCATCTTTGGATTAGTTTTTTCCCCCTTACTGTACAATTTACATAGGTCCACTCAAATGTTTGGACAGAATTATGTAGTGAATGAAACATGTTGTGCCTCAATTCAAATCTCTCCTATAGCAAGGAATCACTGTCTTTATTCATTGAGTTTCTAAATGTAATAGGTATAGTGCTATCTCAAATTTTCTCTAATAAAAAAAATCTAGATAATAAAAAGCTGTGTTTTGCTTCAAATTGGCTGTGCTAGGGTGTAGTTCCACGTGATGTTAAGTTCAAATATGTTTTACACTGCAAAATTGCATTTTGTTCAGATTATTCATTTCTTTAATCTGCAAAGTTTCATTCAGTTAATGCAGAACCAGTTGTATTTTTTGCTGTGGAATCTAAACATTTAAATCAGCATAATAGTTTACGTAACACCCTTTGTCCCAAAACACTTTACAAACTATATAATCTTTGTACAGTACCACTATAATGCAATCACCTCTGTAATGGAGGGTGGCAGGCAATTGGGGTACAGCTAGAATTCAGAAATCCTATATAAATACAATAATTTTTATTAGATTGTGTGGTCATCTGCCCCCTTTCTCCATATAGGTGACTCCCTGCCTTTGCAATGTCAGTAATGCCCTTCAATTGTCGGTATCAAACTTTGTATTGATCTTTCTTATCCACAGCAGTAAATCTATTATCTTATGTTTATCAAAGTGGGCTACAGAGAAAAATATTAAGGCCTGTTCTACACTAAGAGTTAAGTCAGCTTGACTATGTTGCTCAGGAAAAATCCACACCCCTGAGTGGCATAGTTAAGCAAACCTGAGCCCCAATGTAGGCAATGCTAAGTCAATGGCAGAATTCTTCTGTTGACTTAGCTACTGCTTCTTGGGAAGATGGATCACCTATGCTGTCAGCATAGATAGTGTCTATACTGAAAGCACTATAGCAGCCCTGCTGGAGCTCTAGCATTTCAAATGTGGACAAGTCCTAAGTGTGCTCTTACCAGGTCACTAGCAGTGTGGCAATTTGTGCAGGACCAAATTAAGGCAATCTGGGGCCTTCGGGTATACCCCCACTTGGGGCCCCTGTGATCCTGCCTCAGCCATGTCCCTCATTTGCGTGGTAGGTGCTTTTATAGCTAAAATGAATGGGGCACTTCACACTTTTAGGCTGTCTGCAGACTAAGGCAGGCCTCAATTACACTTGGGTCACATTTTCAAGCTGTTTGTTGCATCTGTGAGGGTTAGAAACTATTTTTTTCACTGAAAGTTAAGATTGAGCTCAACATGTCACTCCAGAAGCTGAGGGCCCAGGCATATAGGGTATGTTTATACGGGAGCTGGGAGCATGCCTCCCTGTCCTGGTGAACAGACTTGCACTAGCTCTGCTTGAACTAGCACACTAAAAATAGCAGTGTGGATGTCGTGGTACGGGCTACCAACCCAGCATTAGGTGGGCTGGTACTTGTTGAGTGGCTAGCCTATGCTGCCACCTGTGTCGCAATGGCCACAATACCATTTTTAGCACAGTAGCTCAGACAGAGTTAGTGTCATAAACATACAGCTAAGGGTAGCATAAAATCCCTCCTTTACCCGTAAGGGGTTAAGAAGCTCAAATAACGTGGTTGGCACCTGACCAAAAGGACCAATAAGGGGAGAAGCTACTTTCAAATCTAAGGGGGAAGGTTTTTGCTGTGTGTGGTTCTCTCCGAGACAAAGGGAAAGACCAAGCAAGTAATCCAGCTCCTACTGAAATGGTACAGCTAATATTACAGAAATAGTAAGTAATAGCAAGGAAATGCGTTAATTATCTTTTGGTTTAGCTTGTGAATTTTCCCTGTGCTAAGAGGGAGGTTTATCCCTGTTTTTGTAACTTTGAAGTTTTGCCTAGAGGGGAACCCTCTGTGTTTTAAATCTAATTACCCTGTAAAATTACCTTCCATCCTGATTTTACAGAGGTGCTTTTTACTTTTTTTTCTTTATACTAAAGTTCTGTTTTTTTAAGAACCTAAAAACCCAAGGGTCTGGTCTGTGCTCACCTTGTTTACCTATCTGGTTGGTAGATTATTCTCAAGCCTCCCCAGGAAAGGGGGTGAAGGGACTTGGGGGGATATTTTGGGGAAACAGTGACTCCAAGTGGTCCTTTTCCTGAATCTTTGTCTAACTCACTTGGTGGTGGCAGCAGTACTCATCCAAGGACAAGGAAGAATTTGTGCCTTGGGGAAGTTTTTAACCTAAAATGGTAGGAATAAGCTTAGGGGGTCTTTCATGCGGGTCCCCACATCTGTACCCCAGAGTTCAGAGTGGGGAGGGAACCCTGACAGCTAGCATATGTCTATTTATCCAGTTGCATTTCTCCTGCTCTGCACTGTGCCAGTCGCAGTGTAGACGTACCCATAGTGATTGACCTTAATCCAATCCTGCCTTTGTGGATAATTTAATTCCAGTTGCTTTCATCGTTTGGATTGCTCACTCTATTCATGGAAGGAAGGATGGGTTGCAGCCACTACCACTACGGTTAACATCTCTTTCTTTAAATATGTAGTGTAGCTGTGTCTGTCCCCGGATATTAGAGAGTGAAGGTGAGTGAAGTAATATTTTTTATTGGACCAACTTCTGTTGGAGAGAGAGAGAGAGAGACACAAGCTTTTGACCTGAAGAAGAGCTCTGTGTGGCTCGAAAGGTTGTCTCTCCCACCAACAGAAGTTGGTCCAATAAAAGATCTCACCCACTTGTCTCTTTTAGACAATTAAAAATATATATTTTTTAAATCTAGTACTGAGCAACTGTAGAACACTACATTATCAGTTTTGTTTCTTAGGTTTCTACTGCTCTAACAGCTTTTCTTTTCCTATAGGCTATTCAGGAACAAATGAAAATCCATGGACAAGAACCAGTTTCTTTTCAAGATGTCAAGGTTAGCTTTCCCTAAATATAGAGAGTACCATGTGCGCATAACTGGAATTTTTGAATTATACAGATTTGAAATTTTACTTGCACAGTATTGTAGCCACTGGGTATTTGTGAGCTGTTAAATCAACTTTGCCATGCTGTAAAAAAATATAACTCGTCAGCAATGTGACCTTGGAAATTCCCCTTCATTCTAGACTAATTATTCTGAAAGCAAAGTTTTTAGTACTCAACTTCTCTTAGTAAATTTTTTTCTGATGCAAGTACCTACAATAAGCACACATGGAGCCTCACCTTTGGTTTTAGATGCTTGACAATAATTGGAAGTTTATCTTACTTGTAAAGAAATCAAATAGTTCTACCTTGAGAACTGCCAGTAACTAAAAGCATACTACATCTTATTGATACCATTCTAACATAATATTAGCTAGCAGTTCCCTATTTAGTTTCAGAAGCCTTGAAATACTGCAAGTGACACGTTTAATGAAGAGAAAATTCCATAACATTAGGTAGGGATTTGCCTGATTTCTTTGCGTTTTGTTGTTTTTTAAAGTGGCAGGGCTTCATGTTTCCTTTCTGAGCCCACCATACTTCCTCTCTGGCTGAGTAAGACCATTACTAGAGGGGCAGTGTATTCAGCTACCAGCTCTGTACTTAAGATGCAATCTTATTTTAGATCAAAGCTTCATGAGTGAGGGGCACAGACTGCCCAAATGATCATGCTATGGATAAATTAATCACTATTCTGCTTATAAATGTGCCTTTTAATTCTATGGTTTTCCTTTCATAGGATGAAATCTTTGATATGGTGAAGCCCAAGGATCCGTACAAGATCTCCCTTCAAGACTTAATCAACAGTAGCCAAGGAGACACTGTTACCAGCATTCTAATTGATCTGAATGGCTTCTGGACCTATGAGAACAGAGAGGTTCTTGTAGCAAGTGATAATGACAATACTACAGATATTGACGATACATAACAGGAATACACTGTACTCATGGAGATGTGCCTAAATGTGCACAAACTCTGAAGCTGCAGGCCTATTCATTATCCAAATAAGACACTTCCATCTTCCCCCAGATGGGTGGTATTAAAACTTTGTATAGGGGTTGTCAAATTGATAAATGGTGAAGCCAAAATAGCTACAGTGCTATTTAAGAGACAACAGTGGTTTGATTTTAGTAAGCTGAAGAGATTGTTTGGAATCTTTCTTCAACCTACAGTAGCAAGTAACATTTCTCTTTCAACATTTTGTTCTAGGATGTATATTAAAACCTGCAGAATATTAAGGATGGGATTTCCAAAAATGCCCAGTGTTAGCCTGTTTCTGCTACTGCTGAAGTTAGTAGGAATCTTGGGATTGGTCTAACTCTGCTGTATTTGATGTCAACAGAGTTTTTAAACCTGTCACATGTAGTGTTCACTAGCAACTATGTATGCAATGTGTACTGTTTCCTCCCCCCACATTATTCAACTATAGATGAAGGCTTTGTATAAATAAAAATTTGAATTTTTATTTTAGTAAGAGAGAGAATAAGCAATTAACAGTGATCTGACAAACAGAGTTTAACACACACACTAGCATCTGTGGTAGATACACAAATAACTGAATGGCATAAGTGAACTGTCTTGTCAATAAGAGGAACATGCACTGGTTTAACCTGAATGTTTCAAAACAATATTAGTGTATCTACAGAGGGGTTTGCAGCAATTTAAAAGAGTGGTCTGTTGTTGCTTAGCTTAAGTCTATTCAGAATTTATTTAAGCTACGTGCAAGTATTTACAGCAGGGTTTTCACTGGTTTAATTAAATCATACCACTAGTCAAACTGGAAGTTTTTGTATACACCTCAAGGCTTTACTTTCATTCCTGTATATTACCTCAGAAGGCTGAGTTGAGTACAGAGAAGTTTTCACTAATGTTGCCCTATCGCTAAAATGGGGTGATTTAAGCTAAAATGACTTAATGCTGCCCTTGGATTGATACATATTTATCTCTAAGTAGTACTAAGCCTCCCAAGTCAGATGGTAAAATGTATAACATCCCAATTACGCCTGGGTGCAGAGTTCATCTCAGGATGCATTTTGTGGGTTGGGGGAAGTAAGACACCCTTGAGTTTCAGTGTCCAAACAGATGCCCTTAGGAGGACATGGACTTAACGGGCATGCATCTTATTGTTTTCTCTTGAAAGCACTGAGTAACTTAAGCACCCCGGATCCAGGCACACAACTACAAAAGGGCTGGATCTACAGTATGAAAGAAAAACAGAGCCAAGGTAAAGTTCAAAATTATATTAAATATAAAATAACCAGTAATATTATGCATTTACAGCAAATGTTAAAGTAACCACTTTCATACATTTTGCATAAACTGAAGGAAGGATTAAGTATTAAGGCACAGTGAGTAACACATTTTATACAAAGAACTTTAACACCAGGACAGCGAGCATTCCTTGCTCACTGCAACAGAAAGTACAAGAAAATAGACAATAGTGCAGTCACAGTTGATAAATTTCTGGCAGAAAAAGCTAAACATCCTTCTCTCCATTAATAAAGATTTTATTCACAAGTTACTGTAGGCTTTTGCCCTGAACAGATACCAATTTTAGACAATGTAGGCTCTAAGTAGTTCATCTATTACCAATGTGCTCTTTGTTTCACTCACAATGGACTCAAGCTACCTCTTGCAGATGTTCATCAGAAGCTGAAAGAGGCAAAGGATAGAGCATCAAAGCAAAGAGGATAGTTGATTAAGACAGCTGCTGAAGCACTATAAAGAGACCAGAAAAGACCCAGACCTGGCAGAGGAAGAATTCCCTCATCACAAGCACAGTACAAAGCTACCTTATGTAGCTCTGCAATGGATCCTAAACAAGTCCCAGTGTAGGGGGCACAGAAGGCATGCTCAGAGTGCTATAGGCATTCTTCATAGTGCCACAGCCCAGGAGGATTGTCATAGGTCAGGCAGTCCCCTCAAGTACCCAGAATCAGAAAGCCCTTAAGGTGGTAACTTTTCCCCTTGTGGGCTGCACCGCCCAAGAATCTCACTCAAGATTTCTAATGTTTTCTTAAACTTTAGAAATTTCACCTAAAGATAGTAAGATTTTCATTTGAAATTATTACTCACATGATGTCTGTTGGTGGTGAAGAAACTATTGTATTTACCTACCAACATTCTGCACTGCAAGACTTGGGGAATACTCCAGTTCCTTCCTTCCTTACCTAGAGAGCTCAGGTATGAGTGCCCTGAAATAAACTATTTCTCTTTTGCAAGTTAGGAGAGCGAGCTGCTTCTTACTTTAGTTAACTCTTCCTCTAATCATTATTTGGGCCTGGTTTACAATGGCCTCTGAGCAGAAGAGCAGTGTCTTCCCCTGGGTAAGATAGTTTGTTTCCAATACAAAAATACAGATACTAACATTTTAGCAGAAGGCTTAGTCTTAATTTCAGTTAAATTGAATTCAGTTGGAATTTCTTTTAAAATCTAAGTAATTTTGATTAGTTCTTTAGAGCTAACAGAAATTGCTTCCTTAAGAGAGATTCTAATACTGAAATTTAGCCTGTATTTCTTTAGTTCATTTTTAAATACTTCAGGGGGGAAAAGCTGCAAAGCTGAACTCCTCACTTGCAACCAAATACAATATTTTTGCATGATATACACAAATATTCCATTCAGGTAACACTATGGAGACTCTACAGCATCATATAAATACTCTAGAGCAGACCAAACAGCCAAACAGCACACTTTTAGCTATAGATGGGTACCCTATGTCTTTAAAATGTTGACAATTGGAGTGTTTAATTCAAGGCCAGGAATCCGATTTCAATTTACTTCCTAGGACCTTATTAGAACCTACTGAAACTATATATTTAACTGGCTAGGAGAAGTGTCTCTCATAAATGGAGTGAGACTGTGCTTCACAGAGCTGATGCTCATACTGTTCTTTGCTAGACAACAGAATTCGTTGTCTGAGCACTGCTAACCTCCACAATTGATGTAGCTTTAGCTGAGCAAGTTCTAAATAGAGCTTACAACCTCCTTTTAAAAGAGGAAATTGTTTCAACAGGCACTCAGACACCGTTAGGTTAAAGCTCGTGTCTAAATAATAAATACATAAAATGGTGACAATAAATAAAGACATTATTGTGAACTTGGAAGTCACTAAGGTGCCTTGTGAAGCCACTATGGGAAATCAGTTCTAATTAGTCAGACAATCTATTTATAGAGAGCTAATTTTCAATAAGGATTTTATAAATACAAAATAGGCTTTTAAAAGTATAAAATAGCACTATCTTCAATCCACGAGTGTCAGACAGGCACCAGATGTTCAAGGAAAAGATTAGAGACATTTTTACCTACACTGTTCAGAAAAAGATGAGGTCTAGCATATTTAATTTATACTCAACTAATTTTTTTTGTTGTCTAAAATTTTTATTTTAACAGAAATGGCAGTGTCTTAGGCTTTATTCAATAGTTGTGGACTGAACAGACATTATTTAGCTCTCTCCTGGCCAGAATTTTAAATGAGTTACATTCCACTGAAAAAGTACAAGATTTTTCCCACACTTTTGCTGCCAATTTAAAAAAATTGGCGTTATGCAGAACCTTATATTTTAAGTAGGGACAGTAGTTAAGTCTTGTTTACTTTCTGCAACAGATTGGCCTTCTCCCTCAGTTTCAAAATTGAGATTCACAAATGCATTACATGCTGTTGCCTCAGGTTGGTCTGTCTGGACAGTAGTCTCATCTTGTGGCTTGCTCTGCTGCTCTTGATATCGTCTCTCTGCCTCTTCTGACATTTTGTTTTCTTCCTCCTCCTCTTCCTCCTAAGAAAAAAAATTCCACAAAATACAATACTTTCTGCAACCTGTATTCCTCACAACTCCTTCTGCAAGAACACGTCAGTTTCAATTACAGGCATCCAAGCACATCTTTGCTCTAACAAAAATTTTGCTTTCATTGATAGTTCAGCCATAATAACCAAAGCAAACGTCAGTTACAAGTCACTGGTCCATTCCAGTAATCATTCAGAAATACTTTTTCCAGAATCACCTTTCACACTACTCTGAGAAATGAAGTTGAAGAGTTGAACTTTCTCTACACATGCAAACGAGATACACACAGATAAATTTTGACTTAATAAGCCAATTATTTGTCAACAGCAATAATGTGTAATATTTCTGGCTATTACCTTTCAAATAAGGTTTGCATTTTCAACATTTTACAAAGATGTGCAAACAGAAGTCATTACTTGGTTATAAGAGATCTTCCCCCAGCATGTGCTTTGGAATGTCAACCCTCAGAATTTCAGGAATTTGCCATTGTGAATGAAAAGTTTTACCATTTTAAAATACTAGAAATATTCCAAGTAAGAAGAGTCAATGCAAAGACACAGGACATTTGTGCAAGCCATTAATTTTGTGATATATCATGGGAAAGGGGGAACAAAGGGGACACAAGCAGGGAAGTTGGGACAAGTTAAGTAGCTTGATAAAAACAAATAAATGAAAAACACGTAAGGATCATTAAAAGACAAGTTACTGAATATTTCTGTAATTGTGAGTGAAAGACTTCAGTATAAATTGTTTCACTGTTTGTTAACCTGTTCTTTCAGGAGTAACAATAACCGTACGAAACAATTTAAAAAGGCACCTTAAAAACTGAACCTCCACCATTCCTCTAAAAGAATTCAGTCAGTGTCCAATAACCGCTACATGCATCTCTCACACAATCTGCAAATTGTCCTTAAAGTGCACTGTGCAAGAGACTGGAATACAGCAGTGACCAGGACTCACTAAGAGGCCTGGAAATTGCTAATCCAGTGGTAAGAGTCTAAAGGTGAGGAAGCATATGGGAAGAGAGCTTCTTTAAAAAGAAAGAAAGATTCAAAGAAAAGGCTGAGGTTTAGGCCAAATAGATTGAGCTATCTTTAGTAAATACTACAGACAATGCAATTTTTACTTTGTCAAACTTAACAGTAAAGAAAAAGACACACCTCCTTCTTCATCCTGTAGTACTCATCAATGGCATACTGGTATTTTGGTGTACTTATGCCCAAAACGGATGCAATCTTTTCCCCAAGGAAGTCACACACTAAAAATAAAACAGAGAGGCCTTTACCTGAATTCCTTAGATTTTGTTTTCAGAGTTTTAAGAGCAGTTCTACTTCAAAAGAGAGCAGCTGCTTAAAAAAAATCATCATGTGTAGTCAGTCATAACTGCTCAATTTAGTGATATATTTACTGTTTACTGCTGTTCACACTGGACAGCCAACCTAGCTAGGTAAAGAGATGGATTCTGTTACTTATGCATATTGTTTAGTAAGTTCAAGTCAGTTCCACTTTCATGTTGTTTTCAGTGGGATTGCACACATGGTTGCATAAATGTCACAGAGGGCAGAGTTTGGTCAGCAGAATCTTTATAACCTGCAAAAATGTGCGAGAAGGAAAGAATCCAGCTTAACTTCCAGGGCCCACGGTAAAAGTATATTATCTTCAAATGAGGACATATATTATGGAAAATAGAAACAGAACCCCATAATGCCCATTTTTACATTCATTTTCAGAGTAGAACTGCACTTTAATGAACAAGTTGATAATTCAGTGTGTTTAAAATATAATACCTTTATATATTTTAATTCATTAGCACATTTAATGTTACCAATAACAGTGGGTAACTAGTCAAAAATGCAGGAATGAATGACAAAACTGGAGGCTACACATAAAATTAATAAAAGGAACCAAATAGTGTGAAAATTTGACTGCAAAGGAAGTACTTTTAATTTTGTAATTGGGTACTTTTGTGTTAACAGATTCCAAAGCAGAACAAAATAAGACTATGTAAAATAATGGCTAGATTACAAGTACTTGTACTGAGTGATGTTTGCAGCCAGCAAATAGAACAGAATGTATATAGAATATATAGTATATACACACACACACGTATGTATGTAGAATGTATGTATTGACATATGTAGATTCTGGGCTAACAGTGTTTTAACGACAGTGTGTGCTATACACAGCTGCATAGATCAATGGGATTTGATTTCAGTTCTCTCAGTTTAAGTCACCAGGGGCTAAGTGGGCATCCCTTCTAACAAAGGAGTGGAATAGATGGGCTCATGGCAATTCCTTGGCCAAAATGATTGCTGCAGTATAGGGCCTTGAGGGCAAGGAGGATGAAAAACCAAGGAGAATGTACCGTATATACTCGTTCATAAGCCGATTTTTTCTTACGAAAAAAGGGACGCACCAGAGAAGGGGGTCGGCTTATGAACGGGTATAGAGAGGGAGAGGTGGGACACAGCCCCTCCCCCCAACAAAGGGAGCAAGGAGAGGCAGCAGAGCCAGAAGGGAAGAGGCGGGGCCAGAGTCTCTCTGCTTCTGGCCACGCTGCTCTCCCCCCAGCCTCTGAAGCAAATGCAGCTCCGGGGCTGGCAGGTTGTGGCCGCGACGCCCGGCCCAGCCAGGCCAGAGACATCCTCCCCTGGCCCTCCCCAGATAAGGTGGGAAAGGATGGGATGGGGAGAGTCTGGGGGTCCCTGGGCTAGGGGTGGAGTCCCCTGACCCCCAGCTTCTCTTCCCCCGCCCCCCAAAAAAAAGCATTTCCCCACCAGTTGCTGTCCCGGCCCGTCAGGGTAAGCAGCTGGCGCGCCAGGACACTTTGTTTACCTCCGTGCCTGGGGATGCTCGAGGTAAACAAATCATCTCGGCCCGCCAGCGGCTTATCCTGATGGCCCAGGAGCCAAAGTTTGCTGATCTCTGAATTATAGGGTCGGCTTGTGAATGGGTCATAAAAATTTTCCATTTTTACTTATCCATCTTGGGGGGGGTCGGCTTATAAACGAACCGGCTTATGATCGAGCATATATGGTACCTCAAATCTGCAGGACCTCTCAGGAAAATAAGCTTACTGGATAATGTAAACTTGTTAGCTCTGTTGCTTAACACTCTCCGAGAAGAGCAAATGAGAAGCTAGGTATTAGATAATCCAACAAACAACATCTCAAAAATACTGTGAATACAGATATTTAACACAATATTCAAGAATCTCAAGATAACAAGAACTAAAACCTTATGCATACTGACTCTCTCTCTACAAAGTTCTTTTCAGGCCAAGTCACACAAGTGATTTATAGACATCACTGCTGTAGACGGTAAGTTCTATAGAAAACAGACTTACAGACCTAATGGCCTGTGATTGGAAAACATTTTATTTTACACATATCCTTCTACTGAAGTTCTTATATGTCTGGAGGCACACCAAAATATTTCCCTATTAAACCAAATCAGGACATATGTCACATCAATTAAATGCTCATGAACTGCAAATGTCTAAAGCAGCTTTGATTCTAGCTTGGTTTTGTAAGTCAGCCAATTGGTGACCAAGTGCCACACACAACTGACAGATCATGCACATTTCTTCCCAGGAAGACAGATTGATTACTTCTCACAACTCGCCTGAACAAATGTTTCCTTAGTAAGCCACAGATGAGGAAATTAGTATTTAGCAAAAGGGAGATTTTGGTTTATTCTTTCATTACATCTCTTTCAACAGAAAGAGATGGAATTTGATTTTCTCACAGTTGTAAAATGAAATAACTTGGCACCGAAGAGATGGAAAGTTACACAACCAAAATATAGATGTGGCAGACCTGAGGAATGTTCCAAATGGCCAGTAAGTCACCTACCAGTTGTTACACCTCATCATGTAACAAGCTTTCAAAAAGATAGTTAATATTCTTTGGAGTAGTTTACCTTAAAAAGTAAATGAACCAATACCTGATAAGGTTGACGTGGCAACTCTTAGCATATGAAACCACAAGTAGGGTCCCCAGGTAAGCGTAGTCTGTAATGATAAAATTAATAAGAGTAGCACTGTGACCATAAAATTGTGGCACATAATACATGAAGTATATAGTAACTTAAAAAGGGCACAGATCCAGAAGAGAAAGCTGCCACCTTGTCTTTCTGCCAACAGTTTGTCAACGCTCAGGTTAGTGCTTTGGTTTTAAGAAAGTTATACTAATTCTGGTTTTAGATCTTTAAAGCCTGATGTCACTGCACAGGTCATAAAACTAGCCATTTCTAGGTGTCCATGCACATGTAGGTCTTATTGCTTATACTTACTTCCCCCTCAAAAGAAATTCAACCCTCCACTCCATCAGAGAAAATGAATAGATGGGCCTTACACACTATGCTGAAGGTCTTGAGTTCTGACCAGCCAGGAAAACTGAATTCCAGAGTCCTCTCCACCAGTATTCCCTGCTTCTATTTCCATTTCATTCATATATAAGGATCATTAGAAGATCAGTTGTCAAGATAGTCCCTGGGAGAGAGGCAGTCTAGGTCAGGCAGGATTCAAATCTTATAGGGTTTTATAGATCCAAGTCAGCACCTTGAATTGCACAGAGAAGTATATAATCTAATGCAGTCTAAAAAATGCTTCAAGTGGCTTGTATTGCAAAGTCAGTTAGCTACTGGCTTCAGTTAGTACAAGATCCACCAAGTGGTCTTCAAGAGCACAGAACAGTATTAGCAGCAGTCTACTCTGGAAGTAACAGAAACATGAATGATTATGGAGAGATGCACATCAATGGAAATATTGCAACTCAGGAAAAATGGCTAAAGAACACACTGATTATGTCACTATCTCGAACCTCAGGAGCACTTGGGGATCCCATGGCATTTTGTCTAGGTTTCTAACCTGCTGAGAAAGGTTGAGCATCCCTCTAGGTCATACAATTTGTTGGGGAGGGGAATGGAGAAAAATCAAAAATAATTTCTAACCAGTTCTAATGACAAGGCTAGAGACGTTGACCATTGTGAAAAGACAAATTATATAATTAACTAGAAGACGTATATATGTTTCTCGTAAATAATAGAGCTTGCCTGAATAAAACTTCGAAAATGTCCTGCTCCTGAATTCAAATGAGGTTTGTTTTTTATAAGAAACTGTCAGTAGAGGGGTCTTTCTGCTGGAAAGTACCAGTAAAATGGTACTGAGACATACCTGAACCATTATCTATAAAATAAGATTCCAGAATTGTCACTCTGAAGCCTAAAATGTCTGCTGAGTCAGCATGAAGCAATGGAAACAGCCACAAGAATGGCTGAGAGCTCTTTTCGTTCACCACACTAGGTTCAATCACCACTGGTGTTTGCAGTCTGTATCATCCAGTTTAAGTTCTCAGCCATTTTGACTTTATGAATTACACCCGTGCAATAGCACAGGTTTTCAACTACAGTAAGGCATTTATCTCTTCCACGCCAAGAGTCTTTGACCATTGTGACAAAGATAACTCAGCCAACACCACTCTTGCATGCAAACTAGCTGTAGAGTAACAATTTCACTGATCACACGAAAGAGACTACATAGATCAGAGGTGGGCAAACTGCAGCCCATAGGCCACATCCAGCCTGCAGGAGCCTCCTACCTGACCCTTGAGCTCCCGGCTGGGGAGGCTAGCCCCCGGCCCCTCCCCTGCTATTCCCCCTCCCCCGCAGCTTCAGCTCGCCGTGCCACCAGCGCTCTGGGCAGCAGGGCTGCGAGCTTCTGCCGGGCAGCGCAGCTGCGAGAGCCACCAGCCTGCCCCGGTGTTCTAGACTGCGCGGCGGCATGGCTGCCAGTCCTGGTGCTCTGAGCGGCTTGATAAGGGGGCGGGGAGGTCGTATAAGGGGTCCCCGGGGGGAGTCAGGGGACAGGGAGTAGTTGGATAGGCATGGGAGTCCTGGGGGACCTGTCAGGGGCTGGGGATACCGGGAGGGGACGGTCAGGGGACAAGGAGCAGGGGGTGTTGGATGGGTCGGGGGTTCTGAGGGGAGCAGGAAGTGGGAGGGGGCGGATAGCAGGCAGGGGCCAGGCTGTTTGGGGAGGCATAGCCGTCCCTACCCAGCCTGCCATATAATTTCGGAACCCTGAAGTGACCCTCAGGCCAAAAAGTTTGTCCACCCCTGACATAGATGATGGATTACTTAGCCCAACTGCCACACCTGTGCAATAGCAAGAGTTTTCAGATGCTATTTTACAACGGAGTTATTTAAGCCATTACAAGTACCAGGGTGGATAAAAATCAGATTGTTTTTTTCCTCAAAAAGCATTTTATCAAAAAAAAAATCCAATTTAAATAAAAAACAAACTAAGATACAGTATAGCTCAAAGATATCTCATCATGGAATAGAGAATATAAATTCTAATTCTATAGTATGGGACAATATATTCATGTAATGTTTAAGAAAAGTTTTGTAAATGAGTTCCAATAGTTCATGGATTAGGGACCCAATCTTATGAGGTTCCAGGGGCTTCTGTATAATTATTTAGGTTAATCTTTCTAACTACCCAATGGGACTCGGTGCTCAGTCTAGAAGATAACATCAGAGATGCTTAGTTTTGCAGTTCTCAAACTGTGGATTTGTGTCTTCAGAGATAACATGCTTGTTAACAGCAAAAATGTTTTTAAATAAATAAATAATATACAGAGGTGAGAAATAACAGACCTCAACCCTATTGTCCCTCTGTAAATTTGTGTACACAGAGTCAATCCCTTACCGCTCTCTAAAAGTGCAAAGTTTCAAAAAGTTCAATGAATAGAAGGTTGTTGGGGGCAGAATAGATCTGGACAAGGAGAAGAAGTCTGGAGATAAATGTGAGACGGGAGGGACAGGCAGTAGAAACAAAAGTGAAACTGTTTGAGAAGCATATTCCAGAAATCTTGAGGTCTTTCTGAGTGTAGCCTTCATTGATCTGAAATCTACCATACCATTCTTTCACTAGAAGGGAAAACCTATAATGCCAGCAGGCCGTAAAAGAGACCCAGTTTGGGAATATTTTAATGAAGTTCCTGTACCTGTGGGTAAGACAGGCATGTGTGCAAAATGCAAACAGTGCAACAAAGAAATGCAAGGCCTGGTTGCCCAAAGGAAACATCATGAGAAGTGTTCCTTCTCAGGAGGAAGCTGCGTTGAAGATGATGAAAGGAAAATGTCTGAACATGCAGGATCTTCAGGTTGGTAAACTTTATTTCATTCTTCTTTCTTAAGGACTGCCTGTCTTCCTTCTGGACTATTCTTGAATTCTCATGTTTGAGCAAAAAAAAATATAGTTGTTACTCTATGGTGCTATCATTTTAAATGTAGTTGTGATAAAAAAATAAATCGTTGAAATAGGCAGATCTTCCTTTTACAATTTCACCTTTAAAGTAGTACTGAGTGTCAGTGAATACAATGACTATACTAAATGAGCAGTGCATTAATAATAATTAAATAACTGCATTGACTTATTTTGTTTAGGAGAATCTATCCTCAACATTCAGGATTCTGAAGACTATCCACCTTCAAGATCACCATCATTAGTTTCAGAGTTATCTGCCAATGATAGTGTTTCAGTCACATCATGTATGTCACATAGCCATAGTATATCACCTGTGGCAGAAAGAGAAAAAAAATCATCATCCAGAAACAACAATAGGTAAGAACCAGCAGATTACAAAAAGAGGTAATTGATGAAAAAATTGCCCAGTTTGTTTATGCAACAAACTCTCCTTTCCGTATGATTTCCCCACTTCATTAACATGGTTCAGTCATTAAGACCAGGATACAGTCCACCCAACAGAGCAGATGTCGCAGGCAAATTGCTGGATAAAGTGTATGAAAGAGAAATTGATCAGTGTGCAAAAGGTCTAGAGGGTAAAATTGTTAACCTGAGTCTTGATGGATTGAGCAATGTCCACAATGATCCTGTTGTATGTGTTTGTGTGATAACAGAAGAAGGGAATGTCTTCCTTACAGAAATAATTGATACATCAGGAAATGCACACACAGCAGAATATTTACAAGAAGTAGCAGTAAAAGCTATAACAAACTGAAAAAAAAAATTCAAATGTCTAGTACGCAGGTTGATCACAGACAATGCTGCAAATGTATCCAAGATTGGAAGAAATTTAGAAGAGGGAGTGAAGACAGTCCCAAGCGAACAACATACAGTTGCAGTGCTCATTTGATGCACCTCCTAGCCAAAGACTTCAGTGTTCCAGAAATAAAGGCTAATGTTGTTGAAATTGCAAAATACTTCCATAACAATCACTTTGCAGCAGCAGCTGCTCTGAAAAAAGTGGAAGGAACCAAGCTAACTCTCCCACAAGACATGTGATGGAACTCAGTGGTGGACTGTTTTGAGCACTATATCAAGAACTGGCCTAATCTGATGATAGTTTGTGAACAAAACTGTGAAAAAATAGATGGCACTGTCACAGCCAAAGTTCTCAACATTGGTCTTAAGAGAAATGTTGAACACATGCTGAGTACCCTAAAGCCTATTTCTGTAGCCTTGAACAAAATGCAGGGAAATAGCTGCTTTATTGCTGATGCTGTTGAAATTTGGAAGGAACTGAGTGAGATCTTAAAAAGAGAAATATGCAATGACAGAGTTAAATTACAAGCATCAAAAAAAAAAAAAAATGGGACAAGTACAGTACTATCTCCAGCTCATTTTCTTGCAAATATTCTCAATACTCGGTACCAGGGTCAAATCTGAAGAAGAGGTTTTGGCTATGACATGGATATCCAGCAATTATCCCTCCATAATGCCAACTATAAAACTTCAGAGCTAAGGGTGAACTATTCAAGAAGTATGTTTGCTAATGACGTTTTAAAGAAAGTCACACCAGTGAACTGGTGGAAGTCACTTAAGCACTTTGATTCAGAGACTGTTGAAGTGGTAATCTCACTTTTAACAGCAGTAGCTTCTTCTGCCGGTGTAGGACATAGAACATAAGAACAGCCATACTGGGTCAGACCAAAGGTCCATCCAGCCCAATATCCTGTCTACCGACAGTGGCCAATGCCAGGTGC